GCAACTAAGCTGTCTTTTCTTCCTGTCTTCCCTGGATGCTATGGAAAGAGGCTGAAACAGACACCCCCTCTACTCCCCTCTCCCTGTGCAGGACTCCCCAGACCTCTCCTAGATCTGTTCTCCAGCATAAATAACCCGTGTTACTCACCCATCAGAGAACAGTTCAGCACATATGTACTGCTAGGCACTGCAGGACATAAAAGCAAACAGGGTACCTGGTTCCTGCCTGTGATCTCACTGAGGGAAGATGCAATACCTCCACACATAAAAGTGAAAGACAACGCAAGAATAACAATACACAATGGGAATCTAAGATACATGAAAAGATTTCTTATCAAGTAGGTACTACCCTCCTCCTGAGTTCAAGGAGCAGCCTTCATCAGGAGGATCACCCTGAGCTGGGCTCTGAATGATGTGTGGGAGGTCAGTAGGTGCAGAGATGGAAGAGCCTGCCAGAGAGGGAGACAGCCTGGGCAAAGGTTTGTGAGTGGGGACCTTGGTGCAAAACCCGGTCTGGCTGAAGAATTCATCAAGAAGAGTGGCGAGAGATAAGAGTTTGGTGACACCACCCAGGGTCTCTCCTGCCCAGTGTGTCTATGTGCTTTAAGTTGTTTATTTTGTTAGAGTTTTTTGTTTGTTTGTTGGCAGAGAGGATGGGAATTTGGCAAAATAAATACCTGCCATCTTCATCAGGAGCTGTCAAGGGCTGAAATGGATGGCATTTTGGTAAACTTATTAGAGCAATACAATATTGTTTGTTCTTTCCTCTGAAGCTAATTACTACCATTAAAAAAAAAAGAAAACCTTTCTGAATGATGAAATAACACTTTACTCAGAAGGATAATTAACATTTTGGGAAGGTTGCAAAGAAATGTATGGATGTGCGTGAATCTGGACCCACTGCACCATGTCGCCTAGAAGGACACGGAGATCCACCTGCAGGGCACTTACCACCTGAATGCAGAGACAAACACAGAGCAGCCCAGGTGGGAGAACAAAGAGAGGCAGAGTCCGTGGCGTTTCTCTCGGTGCTACTGTCTGATCTTCATTAGAGCAGATGGGGTCGAGTAATTGCTGTTCAACAGCTTACTTGGACTTTTCCTTCACAATGTTGTCCAAGGATGACCCATCCCTTTATCACATTGGGGCAGCTGCCCCTCCCACCACCCCTAACTGAAAGAATGATCTAAGAAGAGCTGTAATATAAACTGGACCCTGGACCAGCAAGGGAAACAACTGGATTCCTTCTGAAATTCTGCGTGTCTGCATGCAGCTAGCAAACTGAAGCAGGAAAGTGAACTGGGTTTTTCTCACGATTTTCTTTTTTAAAACAAAGTCCTCCTCTTTAGTGTTTAATTTGCTTACTTACTGTTTTGCTGATTTGGAGTTCATTATAAGATGAGGAACAGGCTAGAAAAAAATTAATTCAGTTATTCATTCAGCATTGAGTCCCCGGTGGGGATCAGATGTCGTTCCAGGTGCGTGATCTACATCAATAAACACACGAGACGGGACTTCCTGCCCTTAATGGGTTGACATTCCAGTGCGTGGAGATGGACCAGAAACAAGATAAGTAATATGTTATACATCAGAAGGTGATTAGTGCTATGGAGAACAATGAAGCAGAAAAGGAGGTAGAATTTTAAGAATGTCACCAGAAAAGGCTAACACTTGAGTAAAGAACTGAAGGTAGGGGAGAACTGACCATCTGGGCATCTGGAGGAAAAGGATTCCAGGCAGAGGGAGCAGCACATTCAAAGGCCCTGAGGCAGGATTGCGGCTCACGTCATAAAGGAACCGCAGTGACCCAGTGGCCACAGAAAACTTAATGCTGGTGAGAAAGGAGGTGAGGTTGGAGAGGGAATGGAGAGCTGGATCGTATAGCACCGTGTCTGCTATGCAAAGACTTAATTTTACACTGAGGAGTGACAAGAGATGTGCTGTTACTAAGGTTTCAACAGGACCACTCTGGCTGCTGCGTTGAGAGGAGATGATAGGGAGTGAGGGTAGAAGCAGGGAGACTAGGGAAGGGCTATGGTCATAACCCACGTGAGAGATGACGGGGTTTGGGGGGACAAGGCAATGAAGATGAGAAGTGTCAGGTTCTGGGAAAATGCAGAAGGAAGACCAGATTCGTTGACGGTTTGGATAGGAGGGTGAAGAACTGCGGGAACGACGAAGTTCTGATCCCGGACCACCGCAAGCACAAGTCGCCGTGGGGAAGACTGCGGAAGGACTGGGTCTGGGGGAGAAGATAAGGAACTCAGTTCCGGAGATGCCTGCTGGACGTCCAGTGGAGGTGCTGGACAGACGGTCAGATGCAGAGATGTGGTACTCACAAGAGGTATCTACAGAAGAGTTTCCAGAATACAGATGATCATTAACACCAGAAAACCATATGAGGTCACCAAAGCTTTGACTGAGAGTTAACCAAAGAGAAAAGTCCAAGTTTACTTTTTTTTCTTAGTTCAAAGTCATTGCAGCCTTCTTTTCAATATACAAAGTTCTGGAGAGCATCTTCCTATAAAACATCACTACTTGGATATAATATTTAGAGCAAAAGAGTGAGCAAAGGTCACATTTCCTTCCTCCTGGATAGAATAGGCTAGTGTGGTTTTGCTCAATTCTGCTTTTCTCATTCAAGAAAAAAGTTATTGATTCTGTAAAGCCCATGACGTGGATATTTTCACTCCTGTTTTTAAACGGCTGGCTCCGTTTCCTGCCTGGTGACATTTGATAGTAAAGGCTTCATCTGGCATGGGCTCCAAACGTTCCTGTCCTGGAGGGAGCACAAGATAACAGGCTTCCCAGAAAGAAGAGATGCCTGGAAGCCAGAAAAGCAATCAATAGTTCCCTATTTTGTTATATTTTAATCCACCAAGAGAAATAAAACACACAAACGCACAACACCTAGCAGCTCGTGCCCAGGCAGCAGCCTGATTAGCTATTGATTTTTCCTCCATTTATCGTGAAGCCATAGGATTTTATGGGAAGCCCCAGCGCCCTGCTGTCTGAGTCAACTCTGCAAGGAAAAGGAAAGCGGACAGGGAGAGAGCTAATGGCCTAGTTTAAATATACAAAAATCCACTAACAACATTTAAATTAAATTCAAACTAAGTATAAATGTAAAATTGTGAGTTTATTTCATGCCTCCTGACGTACTGCGAGGATCATTAAATGCACACAAATAACTGCATTTATTAGACACAGGTTTGAAATCTGGTCCCTGTGAATAAATAAATGGCTTGGACACCTGCAAATGCTTCGGTTTTTACAGAAGGACAGGACGGGCGCTGTGAGATGGCAGGAGGAAAAGCGGCTGCGCCCCAGACCTCAGGGCTCGGTAGCCACGCTCAGGAATCGACCGCTATCGACGCGTGAAATCCGGCCCCACGCCTGAGATTCCGACTGCCCCAGGAACGGAGTCTGCCTCTTTGCCCACTCGTCCCTGCCTTCTGCAGACCCCCCAGAGGCTGCAGAGCCTGACCCACTGAAGCGGGGTCCAGCTCCTGCTGCCTGACCTCGCTGACGTCCGTTACCTGCAGTCAAGCGTGCCAGCCTCCGTGCACACTGACCAGCCACCCTACTGGAAGCATCTCTTCTGTCCCAGCAGGACACTGGTCTGTGGGGAGGCCTGTGCCTCTCCCAGGGCAGGGCAGGTCCCTGTGGTTCATCGGTTCTCCAGGCATCAATCAGCCTTGGCCGGGTGGGCATCTTCCCCACTACAGAGGAAGGAACCAGAAGGCTTCTCTGACCTGGGCTCCCACCATTCAGTCTGCACCGGGCATGTGATGCCACTGGCTTGTTCCCAGGCCCCCTTTTGGAGGTGGAGGGTGGGGGTGCTACCTGCAAAAGGTGCTCCTTCCGCTTAGACGTTCTTCCCCACCAAACAGCCACATGGCCCATTTGCACCTCCTCCAAGTCTTTGCTCAAATGCCACCCTCCCAACGACTCCCATCGCGACCTTCACTTCTGACTTAAAACCGTAACACCTTATGCTAAGTGAAGGAAGCCAGACACAACGGTTCACAAAGTATATGATTCCACTTGTATGAAATATCCAGAATAGGAAAGTCCATGGAACCAAAAGCAGACAAGTGGCTGCTGGGCGCTGGGGGAGGGGGCAAGGGGGGTGACTACTTAATGGAGACAGGGCTTTCCTTAGGGTGAAATGTTCTGGAACTTGACATAGGTGATGGCTGTGCAACATTACAAAAATACTAAATGCCACCAAAACCGTATATTTAAAAATGGTTAATTTTATGTTATGTGAATTTCACCTCAATGGGAAAAATATCACAGCCTCCCCAGATACAGGCTGCCTGACCAGCTCATTTCCCCCACAGAACGTTTCCAACACACCAGGGGATCCACGTGTGTATTTTGCTGGTTGTACATCTCCCCTCTCTAGAGCGTGAACTCCACGAGGGCAAGGCCCCCTGTCTGCTCTGCTCACTGGTGTCATCTCTGGGCCCAGAACAGGCCTGGAACGAAGTAGGTCATAGACAAACATCTGTTCCATAAACAGACAACGCACGATCTCTTTAATGCTTCATCCCTAAAAGATCTTCCCTGTTTCTTGAATATCAAACCAAAGGGAGATGATTCTTTAAGAAATAGGATTAAGGAGCCAGGATTGTCTAATCCAAAGTAAATTTTAAAACAGAGAGGGGAAGGAAAGTGGCACATAATCCCGTTCGCAACGTGGAAAACAAACAAGCTGCCTGACGGGGACCTAGAGGATCAGGACGACGGTGCCCAGTGCTGAGCACGGTGCTCGTTTTTAATTTGCAAGGATTAGAAACGTCAACAAACATCGCATTTCCCTCTACATTCTAAAAGATGAGTCAGCGCCTTGGATTCACGCTAGACGAACTGGGAAAACAAGGCTCTCACACGAGCACTGCTTCTGCAGGTGCCTCCCTGCTCTGCAGGCGGATTCAACCACAGGAAGTACTTCCATTTAAACGCGGAGGCGCGGGGAGCGGGGGAGAACGTACCGATGAGCTCCTTATTCCTGACGTCCAAGGCCATGTTCCGCAGCGCCGTGGCCACGGCGCACACCACGCGGTCATTATCTATTCGGAGCAGCTCCACAAGGATGGGCAGGCCTTTCTCTTTCCGGACAGCAGCTCGGATATATACTGACCACTGCAAAGAGAGGGAAGGCCAACACCTTAGCAGCTGATGCGGGAACACGCAACGAGCGAACCGCACGGGCGGGCTGTCAGACGGCCGTCCGCGGGAGCCAAGACGCTTGAGTTATCAAGACCTCGTTGTCGGATGGGTTGAGTGGGTTAGACGTGTATTTAAACATTTTAACTTTATTTCTGCCTTCAACACAGGATAAAGGTTTCAGGGTTGATCGGTTAAGCGCATTTCATTTCTCTGATGCCAGCATTCTCGGTCCACGCATTGGAAAGCCATTTGTGTGATGATTATAGTTGATACTTTAAGATACGGAGGTTTGGGACGGGAAGAACTGGTTACTCACAGTAAGAGGAATTTTTTTAAAAATCCTGGAAAAAGTAGAAAATGATAAAAGGTAGAATCTTGGTGATTTTTTAAAAAAGAGACTTGAATTTCGGGGGGCGGGGACAGTGATGAGTTGCCAAAAGTACTGTCGGTAAGTTGTTCGCTGAGGAGTTCAGAGGAAATGAGTCATAAAGTGGGAGGGGCGAGGAGATAAATATGACATTGAAAATCAAGAGTGAAAAATTTTTAAAATTTGAAATGTATTATACATAGGGCCATCATTCAATGTCTGCTTTAGAAAGCAAGCAGTTTGGTTTGGGGCTGGCAGTTGCTGGCCTTGGGAGAACACACCTCACGCTTCCTGTGGAAATGGACCTGCGATACCAGGCTGAGAGCGCATCCGGGCTCATTTACCGGGATGCAGGCAGGCTCAGATTTTCCAGGTGCTTGCACACACGCTTTACTCTCTGGTACAGTGCTCCAGGGAAGAGTGTGCACCATAACAGTCAACCAATACGAGGGTCTGAGCTGTTGCAATTTCATGTATGATCTTAGAAAATTAAATTCATAACACGAGGTTCTGGATTCTGTGGCAGAGTCCTCCTGGGGACCAGCAAAGGTGGATTGAGTCCCCACCCCTCCCCCCAAGTCCCTCCCCCCTTCCCCCATTGGGACAGGCACCCCAGAGCTGGCTCTCACCTGTGGCAGGCAGGGAGCCCCCTCTGGCAGTGAACGTAGGGCATACGCCATGCCTGCCACATCCTCAGCCCAGCCCTGCACGAAATATGAGATTAAGAAAACACACAACTTCATCCTGTCCTACGTTCGAAGTCACATTCACATAGTTTCACACCATCAGCTCACACCATATGCCTTTTCTCCTGCCCCCCACTCGGTGCCTTAAGCTCTACGAAGCCTGAGGGGGAGGGGAAGCAGAGGGAACTCATGAGAGCATCTCTTGACGGCAATGAATTATTTCACCGCCCCAATCTCAGGGAGCAAAGAAAGGGATGGTCAGAAAGTCTGAGACGTGGAAAGACCTCAAGGTTTGGAAGCTGCTTATTGAAATTCAGCTGTCTCGATGGGACACCATTTTCTGAGGGAGGTAGGGGCTTCAGGAAGACATTCAAAACCTCCGTCACATCCACTGGAAATTTCACTGGCAACCTGACATGCTGAGACAGGATTTTCATCTACCTCCTCCACTACTTGTGAACCTCTGGTCTCCAGTGCCCGGAAGAAACTAGACACCTGCGCTCCTGCAGCCCATTCATTGTCGGGGTTCTTCCCTAAATCTAAGGAGGGAAGCTAGAAAAAGAAGAAAGTGGAAATTGGAGCGTGGGGTCAACGTTCACATACTGTAAGAGGAACATCAATGATACATTCTCACACTGGGGAACATTCTGGACCTTTTGAGAGACCAGAGGGGATGTTCTTGGGAACTCGGACAGGCTGAAGCATGGGCCCAGAGATGACCTCCTTCCCGGAACCACCTCATCCCAGACCCCAGGTGCTGGCTTGTACAACAGTGATCTCTTCTAATTACCAAATTCCTGGGAAAGCAACATTATTATTCCTACTTTAAAGATGAGGAAGTCTAGACACAAAGGCGTTAAACCACCTGCCCACAGGTGTCACCTGTGCTCCTGGCCCCCAGTCCTCTGACCCTGTCTGCTTTCTGTGATGCT